GATGGGGGGTGTCGCGAAGAGAATGTCTCTCTGAAATGGAGGATCCTCTCTACGCGCCGAGAGAGCTGTTGTCCAGTTTGGCACTCGCGACGTAAATTACCTAGTCCTCCTTTATCTCCTGCATCCTGTTGCTCAGTCGCCATACTTTCCCCTTGTAGATAGTTCCATGGCTCTCCATCCAAAGAAAAGTCCTGTCAATGAGCCGTGACAGGTGAAGATACATCCTCAGACCCGTCATGTTATCTCTCTAATATCTATCCGTCATTCCTTTTTACCTTCGTTCGTCCTTTCTTGGTCCCATCCTACTCTCAGGAACAAGCAATTTTTAGAGTTGTTTTTAGGGAGTGGTATGTCAAAGTTAAAGGAGGACTGAGGTAGCCATGCCACGCGCATAGATCACTACCTCCACCCATACGCGTAGCCAACAACCCACAAGTGAAACTTTCCGGTGCAGGTCATCTGAATGAATAGCTCCTCGAAAATTTACCGTTCGGCACCAGTTGACCTACCGGCACTCAGTCAGTGTTATGCATATTACACTTGCACTGCTTACTAAACACTGGAAAAAAACACATCGGATTTAGAGTCCAGACTCATGAAAACATTGACAAGAAAAAGGACTCTTGATTCAATCAGATTTAAGCTTAAATCAAAAGGAAATCCGCTCAAATTAAGAAGAAGCTTTTGATCGAAGTAAACAATGTACGAAAATGGATTTTCTCCCACTAAAATAATAAAAGCCTGGCATTTAAGATTGGCATTAACACAGTGACTAATGCGGGCCTCTAGATCATCTTTCATGGAGCTCGATGATGGGACTTGGATAATGAAAGATTTCACTACCTCATCGCGAGAGGGTCGCCAAACTTTATTGTTGACCACGGTGTCATCAGACTGATTCTCAGCTGACTTCCGCTTTCTCTTCCCAGACAATGTTGCCGTGGGCACAAAGAGGAGGAACACATACACGGCAACAACATTGCTGGTAATTTCACCTGAAATAAAACCAATAAATAAGACACTTAATCCCACTAAAAGAGCATAATTTCCTCCCTCCCTCCCCCCTTCATCGAATGGTGCAGCACCAGAACGGTGTCCAAACCTGGTTGCATATGATAAAGTGATGCAGAAACAAAGAGACAAAAATTTGGATACGCTAACTTTTACATATACTCAAGGCGTGTCAAAAGTAATAAACGAGGAGAGTTCGCGGATTTGAAAAGTTGTTCTTTCCCAAATATTGAAAAACTCGTGAACCCCTCACTGGGGGGAAAAAATCACATTGGATCTAGAGTCCAGACTCTTGAAAACTTTGACAAGAAAAAGGACTCTTAATTCAATCGTTAAGCTTAACTCAAAAGGTAATCCGCTCAAATTAAGAGGCTTGGTTCTTGATTTAAGCTTAAATCTGATTGAATCAAGAGTATTTCTTCTTGTCGATGTTTTTAAGAGTCTGGACTCTAGGTCCAATGTGTTTTTTTCCAGTGAATGTGAAATTCATCTGAATGGAACGTGGAAAAATCAAAGGGTGTCATTAAAATTACAAGTCACTAGTCTAATCACACGCAGAATTTAGAATTGTTGCTTGTATGGGAGAGGGAGCTGTGCGGCCATGATTCATCGGCCATTGTTCTTAATTCAGACTTAACTTTTTTTCTTGCGTATACGTAGAAATAATTTTTTTTGTA